TACGTAGCAAGACTTACAGGCCTCAATTCATTTTCGATTAGTTTCGCAGCATCTTCAAGTTCCTCTAAACTGAAATCCTCAACTGGCTCATTATTAACATCATGGGCCAACATCTTGGACATCTCTAACTTGACAAGGTCATCAGCCTGATAATTCAAACAATTACTAAGTTGAAAGAACTACGACAGTTAGAACCTAAAAATCACTTCTTTTAAAGATTTGAACGATATACCTTGTTGAAATCAGTTTTGCCTCCAGTCGTTCTGAAGGATAACTCATTGACTGCCGTTGGGATAGGTAAATTACGTTGCCTCGCATGTGACTCCTTCTTAAATTGCAACAAACGCGCTCTTTCACGTTCTTCCGCCGTACGAGCATCAACCTAAGGCAATTCGCTCTTAAACAGAAACGAAATGAACCTTCTTTTGGAAACATTTGTAGGATAGAAAGACGGTATCCTATAAAATAGGTAATACTATAATGCTAGCATTAAAACAGCGATAGCATAGTAAAATTTTACTTCACTAGCATCTTCAACCCACTCAGACGTCTGCATTTCATCAGGAAGTTCACTGAAATCTTCTTCTGGGGCAACTATTTCATAATCATTCCGTGGAGCTGGCAACTGGCTAAGCGCATCCCGTAACTGTTTCCTGTTATCCAAAGCTCTAAAATGACTTAAAAACACTCAAAGAAAAAAACTTAGCTCGTTTTAAAAATTAATTTATTTAATGTGGGCCCTCATTCATCTATATTTTAAAACTTGTACACTTCTAAATTCAAAGTTCTCAAGTACTGAAGATATAAGAGCAAAACAATAAACTCACGATTGTGCAGTATTGATATTTAACTGGTCTCTGAACGGTGTCGCAGGTGTACCCGGTTCGCTGCTTCTTACACTTCCTGTAAATTCTTTTTACACTTTGGAAAAGAGCCATAAATAGTTCTAGAAAGAATGAACTTTACAAAATGTTCTAAGGTTTCTTTTATGACTTTAACCAGACCATCAGCTAAAGTCGAGCGCGGAGTGGCAGCAATGCCTCCTATCACGGTATTAGGTGTCTGAGCTACTAGTTGTTGAGGAAGTGCTGACTGCATGTTGAAATCGTGCAATGGTGTATTAATGCCCCCTTTCAAAGGTGTAGGAACATTGTGCAACGCTAGAAGGTTTTCTGCTTCCTAGAAAAACATCCGTTACTCAACTACAAACATATTTATAACCTTCGAAAGAAGAGTAAAATAAATCGTGCATAAAATAAACCTTTTGTATGACGTCAGCATGAATCATTGGAGTTCGCGCAGTACGGACGCTATTTGCAGCAACGTTTTGATAGTCATGAAGAAGCATGCTAAAAATTTCAGAAGTAGTAAAATATACAAAAGATAAACCAAGCTCGACACAGTCATATGACTTCAAAAACTAACATCTACCTCGTCGGGAAAAATACTATGGAACAAATCTTTAAGATAAAGTTAACCTGGTAGGATTTTCATCGCTCATTTCTTTAACTGATTCAGTTGCTTGTCCAATTTTTATAATTTCTTCCATTTCTTTCTCAGAAATTTGTGGAGCTGGAAGAACAAGTTTTGACCGTTTCTTCTCAGTTTTTTTAGAAAATATGGATTCCGGTGTTTCCTCCGATCTAAAACAAAAGCAATAAAACCAAATTATACCTAATTCTTTAGGCCGCGTATAAAACTGATTTGTTTCCTCAGTCACTCCTTGTCTACCTATTTTCTGTAGACGTATATAAAGTTAACCTGCGCTTTTTCAGTAACTCCTTGTCTCTTTTTCTCCCTTCGTTTTCAACATCATCTCTTCTAGGTCCTTCCAACTCCGCCCGAGTTACCTTTTTAAACGTCGTATTTTTCTCAAATTTATCTTCGCTTGGATCGTAAAACCCAGGCGGCACAGGCTTTTCAAAAGGAATCTGAAAAAAATGCTTATAGCTATAGCAGCGAATAATAATAAATTATAAACTAATTGGTTCGTCAGTAATAAATATAAAGCAAAAGAAGAAAAATTAAGAGAAAAAAACAAAAACAAAATCCTGCCGCTGTAGGAAGATACTTAAGCTATCAAAACGGTTATGCCAAAAAAACTTAATGACCCAAAGCTGCTGTCCAAGAAAACTGTGCTCTTCCTCAAAGTTACACTATAGGTAGAACAGGCTTTAAAATGCAAGATAACCTCGGCATTATAATCTATGTGCAGTGGATTCCGTCTCTGAAACTTGTGACTTCCCCACGCAATACCGGCAGCTCGAAGCTCACGACGTTTCTGTAGAGAAGCCAATCGCCGAGCTTCAGAAAGTTGCTTCTCACGAGCTTTGCGTTTTGCCTAAAGTGAGTCAGATGTGAAAAAAAAATAAATTTAACGAGAATTAATCAGAGGACGTCAAGAAAGGCCAAGCAAATGAAAAAATCCTACGGCTTGTCAGAAAATGGTATCAAAGAACCTTTTTGCCCTGGGTGTTTGCAAGCCTTGCGCGAGCCTCAGACAACATTTCAAGCTCGTCTTCATCCATATCTACAGGGTCTGGACGTGCTGGCTTTGTCTCAGGAGTTGGATCAATCTCTCCAGGCTTCAATTTTCGAGCGTCACCGAGATCCTCACTGTCATCGAGATTCTCGGCCTTCTTTTGCGCCTAGAAAAAAAGTTATAAAAACGCAAGTAACACTAAGTAATCCAATTGAAACAACTAACTTAAACAAAAAACTAACTTCATCTAAAAGGTGTTCATAACGTTCTAAACATTGAGCCGCTGTTCTACCAACTATTGGTGCGATTGTACGCCACTGAGTTGGCATAAGCTTCGCAAGATGCAGAAGTTTTTCATCTTCATCACGTGACCACTCTGTTTTCTTGATCCCTGGATCCAACCATTCATACCATCGCGCCTAAGAAAAATTAATCCTACTCAAAAATTTTACCAGAAAGAAATAAAAAAAAGCAGAAAATTGAAAAATTTATAATTTAACAATCGCTGTAAAAACCCATCGAAAAAAAGCACTATAATCACTAATTAGATGGAATGTGAGAGTAGAGTAAATTCGTTTGTGAAATCAGTTACCAACAAAAAACTGAAACATCTCAAGCCATACCTTGCACTGTTTTGCTGACTTTCTGTGAAGAAGTGATGCAATACGACTCCACTGATTCTTTCCATATTTCATAATAGCTGCTTTGAGGATTTCATCCTAAAATGAAGTAATGGGCAGACTCTCCCCCTTTTGCTGCATATTACTAGAAATAAAGTGAAAAACGCAGTACAATAACTAACCTCAGTGTTTCGCCAAACACCACCTTTTATTATAACACGAACCATGATTTGTAATTAAATGCCTTAAAAAAATAACATTTTTAACCTTTGATTTCTACTGCTTTTCAAGAAAATATGACACGAGATCAATGCGAAAGGATCAATGCGAAAGGACTGAAGAAACGTGAGTTTTTTCAATACTTAACAAATTTACTGCGACAAAAAATTATAAAGCAAAACAGAAATTA